ACTGGAAGATTTACCTGACTCTTGAGAGTCAGGGCCAGTTTGAAGCCAGAGAATCCACCAAATTTAATTCAATTATTTTGATCCTAATAAATCCCCCTCTGTCACCAATTCTTTTTTCCATTTTTTTAAACTATTATTTCCCCTTGGTCTCTCCCACAAAAATATTGGACAAGCTTCAGCTCTTCTGGCTTACTGCATGAAAATAGTGAACAGAAAGGTCATATAAACCAGGGACCTGGAGAGGTAGGTCCACAGTCTAGGTAATAGAAGATTACTTGATTTCCCTCTTATACTGTTAAGAAAATGTCAAGACAAGCCATATCACAGGAGAGAGTACTGGTAATACATCTAGCTGAAAAAGAAAGTGCTCAGAATCTGTAAAGGCCCCTACAGAGCAGTAATAAATAGACAGATAACTCAATGAAAAAAAGGGCAAGATACTCGGACACTTCACAAAAGATTTCCTATGGATAATAAGTAGATGCAAAGATGCACCACATCAGAGAAATACAAATCAAAATTAAGATCACAGTGAAATACCATTTCACCCTGGAGTGACTGAAATTAGGAAGACTGATTGAGCCAAACATGGGTGAGGAAGTAGACCAAGTGGAATTCTCAGACCTGAGTGTGGGTATAAAATGGGACTGCTACTTTAGAAAATTGTTCAGCTTTTTTTTTTTATAAAGTTAATTTCCTTACACTCAGTAATGAACACTTCTTCAGAATGTCCGTTAGAATGACCTGTCTTATTTCTCTCTTTCCACTTGCTTGTTCTCCTCTGTTTCCAACTGGAAAGCTGGCATGAACATGAGCCCAGTCTCTCGACTGAAAAAAACTTGGGCCAAAGTGAAGACGGCCAAGTTTGACGTCCTCGAGGTATGTGAAGCTGGTGTTCTGCTGTTGAGTAACATTTTGCACCTGGAAGGTGGAATTCTTATGTGATCTTATCTCTTGATCAGATGGTGCCACAGAGAAGAAGGCCCATCTCTCCTTACAGACCCAGGGAAAGAAAGGAGGCAGAGTTGGAGGAAGGGAGAATGAGTCAGGTGGTCAACTCGCCCTTTCATAGAGAGGTGTCCACTTGGGGTGAATTGACTAAAGAAATGGTCACCTGTCAATCACATGACATCACATGCCAGGATGGAATTTGGGTCCTGAACAGCTTGGATTTCTGCTTCAATGTGGGCCTGCTAGCTTCACTTGTTTACATTATTCCCTGGGAGGAGCCTCATCCCTATAGAAATATTCACTCACCATCCTTTCAACAAATTTAGCTAACCTGTGAAAAAGCCCTTTGCATATAATTATGAGGGATTAAGAACTGTGCAGAAAGCGAAGAACTATACTGAATATCTTGTAATAACCTATAATGAAAAATAATAGGAAAAGGGATATATATATGTATTCCTAACTCATTATGCTGTACACCAGAAATTAACACAACATTGTAAACCGATTGCACTTCAAAAAGCAAAAAGAAAACAAACAAATAAAATGGAACCAAAGGATATGAAATGGAGTCTCTTCAAAAAAAAAATTGTGCATAAAGGCATTTGTGTTTGAACATATCATGTCAAGACGTTCATGTTATGTGTTGGTGCTTTGAATCTACTACCTTTGGAGATAAAATTAAGAAAGTATTCTTTCCTAAGCTTTCCTCTAAATTGGGAATTGTCATTGGATATATTACATTCTGCTTTATTGATATTTTCTAATACATTTCTTTTCCTTTTTGGAAGATAGTATGCTTTAATTATTGGTGAGTGATTTGTTACCAAATGCAGAGAACAAGTCCTCTACAAAGTGTTGGATCACCATACAGTGACTAACCTTCAACTGACCCATTAACCTTCAGATGAAACCAGGAAATGGTTTCCTATGCTGGTTTTTGACTCCTTGTTATCCATTTTAAGTCTAATCTCAACAGTTAACCTGGAAAGAATTTGGCCTAGATTTAACATTATCAAAGCTGACATCAGCTTATATAAATAAACCAAACCTCATGAAAGAAAACATTTGTGTTCTAATGTGTTTCATGCCTATGTGTGTGTAGGGGGAATAAATCCTGTTCTTAATGAGTTCTCCAACTTAGTTTGAATTTTTGCTGCAGGTGAGAAGTGCCTGGTTAATACTGCCCTCTCCTTTGTCCACAGCATCAGATGGACCCTTCCAGCAATTTCTACAATTACCGAACAGCTCTTCGTGGGGCGGCACAAAGGTCTTTAACTGCTCACAGCAGCAGAGAGAAGGTATGTGTTTAAAGGGGTTTTGTTCATGGTGGAGTTACCGTGTGCTGCACTGAATTGCAACTTGAACTACTACTCTGAGATGCTTTTACCTGTTTAGGTCTAAGAAAGAAAGTTGGCCTACTGTAGACATTTTTATCACTTGCCACAGAGGGAAGGGGGAGCACTGAAGGAAGGGTAGACTGAGGAAAGGGAAAGGGAACTTGGTGGAGAGCTTTGCAAATGTCATTATTGCATTGTTTATATGATTGTTTTGTAATGTGTCATAGCTGTGTTTCAAGCAGTGAATTAAGTCATATGTTAAGATGACTAATAGCATCAGAGAATAATTTGATTTAACGGAAAACAGACAGTTGAGCTCTGTGCAAGGTAGCTGACTTAATGTAACCTTTTCTCTTAAAAGAATCAGCTTACCTCCCATGGTTAAGTCATTTATTTTCAGAAAGTAGGTTACTTGCTGCAGCATTAGGCCTGCTGTTGCTAATTGGCTATGTGGGAGGCAGAAAAGGCACAGGGATAATGTCTGAGAAATGAATGATCCTTACTCTGCCTGCCTGCCCTTAAACAATTTAACGCTGTCCGCTGTCCCGGATCTCCCATCCTCCTGACTTGGAGGAGCCTCTCCTGGCACATTTCAGGGTCACATTTCCATACATGGGAAGGATAAGTCACCTTAACATTTGAAGAGCATGTTATTTGAGAAGTAAATACCTTGTTACAGTAAGTGGGCTGATGAAAGTTATTCTCTGCTTAGATTCTATTCATCTTTTAATTTTAACTTTATCTTCAACAAATAAAAGAAAATGAGGGTGAAAAAACGCAGGATGTCTCACTCACTTTCCCTCAGGAGCTTCAGCCTCTTATGATTTAAAAGAAAAACAGTGGGGAAGGGTATAGCTCAAGTGGTAGAGCACATGCTTAGTTAGCATGCTCACAGTCTGGGTTCATCCCCAGTACTGCCTCTAAAAATAAAATGAACAAACAAACCTAATTACCTCCCCCCGAAAAAAAACCCTAAAAGATAAATAAATTAATTAAAATAAAATACAAAAAAAAGAAAACTAGGTGGCACAACTGGAAATCCACTTGGCAAAAATAATAATGATAATAATTTTTTAAAAAAGAAAAACAAGCCCTAAATTTAAGAAACCCCACCTTTTAAACATAGTAAATTGCTTCTCAAGAAAATCCAAGCTATCAGTTATGATCATGTTGGAGAGCTACTGTAAATACATTAATTTTTCTTTTAAATAAAGAGACAAGGTCAGAGAGGGGACACAGCAGAGGTAACTACCTCGACTTAGCTTGAGGGAGTTTACCAGCTTTTAAATTGTACTTGCCTGCATCCCAGTCCTCCTGTGACTAGATTGAGAAAAGTCTAATCAGGAGTTTTTTAAGCTTTGGAAAATGAGGGTGTGCATGGGAGGGCCCCAGCACCCTGAAGTGTGGCGATCCGTCGGAGGCGGTCCGCACCCTGCCCTCCACTCTCCGGGTGGGCTGCCGGCCTCTTCCCTGCAGGACCCCGGTGAGTGAGGTGGGCTCCGCCTTAGCAGGGAGGCTCCAGAACATCTCTCTTCGTCAGGAGCCGCAGCACTGGCGAAAGTAATTCTGAAATCCAGCCCTCCCCCAAAAGATCTCACTGGATGTTGTACTTGTGGGACTCTGACAGCTTTTTCCACAAAAAAAAGTACTTATCCTTTCCCTCATTTAATAGATTCTGTCTGCTTTCATTTTGTTGTTGTTCTGTGTGAGCATTTGGATTGTATTCTCTAGTTCATAAAACAAATGATATGACCACCAGTTTAAAAGAAAAATACACCATTTCTTTTTCACTGTTGGTCTCAAAGGCTATGAATGAGAATGTTTTGGAATAAGCTCTATCTTTCATTCAAGAGAATTGGGATTCTTTTTTTCTTTTTTGAAGTGAAGATAAACTCTATTCCTAAGTAATTTCCTGTTTTAAAATCTTCCTGGCAACATGACTGGAGAAATAGAATCTTTAATAGTCTTTGAATTATGTTTCTGTGGCCAAAATGGCACATCTCTGGGTACCATA